AATTCTGAGTTTAACAGTACCAACTACGTTTAAAACAAAGGAATAATGAATTACTTATGACCATTTAAAGCAATTCTAGACTTTAAAAAAAAAAAAAAAAAACAAACAGTGCCTCAACATCCAGCCGCCAAGCCAGCCAAGCGAGAGCGGAAAACGATGCGCATGCATGGGAAGAGCGCTTGGCGCGTGGTAGTGTGTGGCCGCCGCTGACGACATCATCTGGTGCGTGCAACTCACGCGCCGCCTTCCGTGGTATTTTCTGGTTCAATTTTGGTACTACCGGACTCCATTTTCTAAAATAAAAGCAATGGTGGACTCAAAAATGGCATTTAACAAACACAAATAATGGGGTGTATCATACTCTCTCTCTCTCTAATAAGAGTGGAAATGCAGAAACTATGCATTTTATCTTCTTTCTTAAGCCACCAAAAAGCCAAAATGAACCTAAATTAGGATTTGATTTTTCTCATCAACCGTAAGTCCAAATCTAACAAATAATATATGATTTCGAAGGTCTTAAAACAAGGATTTTAAATATGTAAGATTTGTAAACTGTAATTAAAGCATGTAAAACCATCATGCGTGTAAAGTTTCGGGAATATAAAATGGGTTTCTATTTTTCTTGAAATCTAACCATTGAATTTTCATGAAACTTTGCAGATATGTTTTACATGAAATGTACTACAACATATGTAAATTTCAAGTTGATCGGAGGAAGTTTGAAAAAATATTAATTTTCCATGCATATATCATATATATATAATTATATACATATTTTAATGCACAAAAAATAAGCACGAAAATATTCATTTAAGGCTTTGATACCAATGTAAGATATAGATAACGCAGTGAATAAAAGGATTTGGGCATACCTTATGTGATAGAATCCGAAACGAATAACCTTGCGGATAAATCACGTGCTTCACAACCACGAACTAAGAACACCCAGCAATTGAGTGATACTAGAGTATGAGTATCACCCACTCTAGTCGCAGTGCAAAGTCTTGATCGTTATTCTAATGGGAGAGAGTTAGAGAGAATATGGGAAAAATCATTCGTTATTCGATTCATCCCCCATTCCATATACCATGTCAGATATAGGTCAGATTCTAACGATTTATCCATATATCTAGATAAGATATGATAGATATAGATATTGAGATGGTGGGTTATCCAAACAAGACAAATCAAAATTCAAATTACATGGGTAATTTGAATGGGTTATGCGTCATGCCACATGAGAGTACCCAAATCCAGATTCAATACCCCGCCTAATTTCCAACAATAAGAGTCTTGTGGGGTCTTATAAGGGCCGGAGGTCTAAATCATTGCTCATAATAATGAAACCAACATCTTCTTGGAATCGGAATGTCAAATCCCTTGCATATCCTTTGACATTTTGAATACTTTTCAATTTTTTTTTTTTTTTTGATATAGACTAGGTTTTCAATTTGAAGGATTGAGTTTTGCTTGAAGTTATATATATATTTTTATATATTATTTCAATTTTTATGTTTCCAGAATATTTTCCAAAGTATTTTGGCCATCAATTGTTAAATCATCAGCAACGCTAAGTACTCAAAAAAAAAAAAAAAATTATGTGTTGACCTCACTTTAGAAGAATTAGATCTCAGTCATATATCAATTTTTTTGTTAGATTTCTAGTCCAAGGTTTTTGAGTTCTTAGGCTTTGTTCAAAATCATATGGGTAAAATCGTTAAATGATCATGGTCACTGATTGCCTCAATTTCAAATTGAAATCTCACACTAATTTGATTACAACCTTATTAATTACAACAATATTGAAAATCATTTTAGGCTGGAGACGTGATACATGAAATTAACTCATGGGCTGAGAAAGCCACCAAAGGGTTCATCACAAACATTCTGGAACCTGGTTCCTTAACCCCAATGACAGTACTTGTTCTCGCAAACGCACTCCACTTCAAAGAAACTTGGTCTGATAAATTCGACTCAAATCTCACTCAAAACAGAGACTTTTGTCTTCTCAACGGATCTACCATTTCAACCCCATACATGACCAGCCAAGAGGACTATCAATTTGGATCATTCGATGGTTTCAAGGTCCTCAAAATCCCATACAAATCAAAGAATCTCAAATCATTAAACCAAACCCAACTGTCTATGCTTTTGTTTGGAAAGAATTAATTTAGCCCGACTTTTTTTGGCTAATTTAGCCTAGCTAAATTAACTCCATTTGTGAAGAACTTTCGGTTTTTTTGGTTTGAATGTGATGGTTGTGAGAAAAAACATAAAATGATTATGGTTTGAATGTTGCATTTTGTCTTATTAACTAAATTGACCTATTTTGTCTTTTTGTGTTTATTTAGGTATTTTAGCCCTTCCCAAACAAGCTCTTTTTGCTTCCAAACAAGCTAGACGGACTTCCAGATCTTCTGGAAACAATAAACTCCGATTTTGTGTTGTTGAATCGGAGTCTCATGAACTTGGAGGAAGTGGAACATGACAAGTTTCGGATACCCAAATTCAAATTCTCATACGGTTTTAATGTTCGCGAGGCCTTGGAGGACTACGTGGAAATATCATTGAACGTCAATCCGAGATAGGAAATGTTTGTGTCAAACATATTTCATAAAGCTTGTGTTGAGATAGACGAGGAAGGCACGGAGGCTGCGGCTCGGATGAGGAATGTTCGTTCTACATGCTGAAAAGACAAAGTTATTCGTAGCGGATCATCCTTTTGTGTTCATGATCATGTATGAGATTCCGGGGTTTTTTTTTCACAGGTGCAGTAGTAGTCAATCCAACGGTTTAGTATTTGTGTGAGGAAAAAATACTTAAATTGTCATATGAATTTTTGTTCTCTTTAGTTTGGTTATTAATTTGGAGTTCGGTAATTATGTCGAAAGATTTTCATTTGGGAATGAGATAAAGTTATGATCTAGTAGAAAAATAGTTTGTCATCATTTATTTGTTTTTGTTGATCTTAATATTTTTAAGCATGCTAATTTTGGTGTAATGAGGAATTATGATGATGATGACAGTATAATCATAGAACCTGAATTTCAGTTGCTTGTGTTCTTCCAATGGGCAACTTGAGACGTTGGTGACTCCATTACAAGTCTTATTTTAATAATTTAAATTATTTATTTTATTTCGATAATTACTTTTTAAATTATTTATTTTATTTCAATAATTACTTTATTTATTTTGTAAGATTACTGTGTATATAATATCATAATCTTTTTTATTTTATGAGCACTTTTTCATAAATCCCTTTCACCTACTTATGTTCCATTTAGTCCACATTATTTTCTTATATTCCAATAAGTCCTATGAGTGATACAGTTATCAAAATACCCCTAATAATATTCACATTTACAGTGTGAATGTTCACACTGTCAATGTGAATGTTGACACCATCAATGTGAGTGTTAGCACGTCAATGTGAATATTCACATTATAAAATATGAATATTCACATCACCAAATTGGTAACCGTTCAAAAAAAATTTGTAAGGCTAGAAATGTCCATAAAATACTTTAAATATGAGAATTAGGATTTTATAAATCAAATGTTCAAATAATAGGATTTATTAGAATATAAAAATATCGTATGGACTAATTGAAATACAAACACTTAAAAAATGATTTTCTAATGAATCTCCCTATATTTTATCAAAAAAATAGGCAAAAAAGCAATAAACTTACCCATTACAACAAGAATAGATTGATAGTGTTTGATTTAAATTTGAGAAAAAGAAAAAAAATTCTAGACCTAAGCTTTAAATTTTATCAATTTAAATTATAATATTTTAATTTATTCTTAATCTAAACCTTCTCCTACTTTGGCTAGGTAAAAATGATAAAAAAAAGTTATTTCAGCAATTAAATTCAATGCAAGTGTACATAAAATGTCTTAAATATCCTTTTAAATATTGTTGAGTTTAATAACTCAAATACGTTTTTTTGTCAATTTTACTTAGCAAAAATAAGTAGATAGTTTAGATTGAAAACAAACCAAAATATTAAAAATTAAATTGAGAAAATGATTAAAATTTATTTGTTTTTTTGATATACAAAATAGCGGTTAGTATATTAATAGTTAAATTATAACATTAACATCTCTCCATAGACTCAAACCTCAAATCTCACTCATCTTGGCACTTAAATACTCTCTCCATGACGATTTAGGCAAAATTAATAATTGAGTCCATATTTGGTTTGATTTTCAAAAATTTGTTTCAGATTTTTTTTTAAAACTAAAGTGAAACAAATAAAAAAAAATCTAAAAAAATATCATTTTTATAGAATTGTATCTTTTGGGAGGTTAGAAATAATTTTTAAAAGATTTAATTATATTTTTTATATCTATTTTTATTAAATAAGTTTTCATTTTTTGTCCTGAAACACAAGCCAAACAGGCCACAGTGTTTCTTTTATTAAAATGGTCAAATCTTGAATTTTTTTCCTTTGAATTTTGACTGTTTTTCTTGGCCACCAAGAATAAATTTCATTAATCAAAATAATACAATAGTAGTAGTATTAATAATGGAAAATGTTATGATCCCAAACAAATTACCAAATTTTCTATCAAACCTATGGAATTCACACAAATCAAATGTGTGTGGGTCCCACACCCATGTAAGAGATTTGATAAAAAATTTGATAATTTATTTGGGGTCCTTAACATAACTCATTAATAATAATAAATTTCATTATATAACCATAATTGCACTACTAAAAAACCGGGATTTGAAGAGTCCCAAAAGGAATCTTGCGTTTATAGGCACCAACAACTAAGGCAAGTCTTGTACAATACATATACCTCTCCACTATCTTTGCTCCTAGAAGAAACTCCCTTCTACCTCAAGACTCCATCTTCAAACAAAAAAAGAGGTTACAAAAGATGGAATTCTGCATGAGAATTACCAAGCATCTATTGCTTCAAGAGGTTGAAAAGAGCATTAAGAACAACTTAGTGTTGTCTCCATTATCGATCAATGTCGTTCTAAAAGAGCATTAAGAACAACTTAGTGTTGTCTCCATTATCGATCAATGTCGTTCTAAACATGGTGGCCGCTAGATTAGCTGGCCCCGCTTTAGAACATGTGATGGGCCATTTAGGGTTCAAAACCATCTCTGATATTCATTCCAACTCTTCTGAGATCATGGCGGTCGCGGCTGGCGATGGAGAGAATGGGGGTCCTGTTTTTACTATGGTGAATGGTGTTTGGGTTGATAAAGAGTTTGCTTTAAACCCTAGTTATGAGAAGGTTCTTAGAGAGAGATTTGATTGTGAATTCAATACTGTTGATTTTCAAACTCAGGTAATTATATCTTTCACCTTTTTTCTTTTTCTTTTTTTGGATCAGAATTATATCTTTCATTTTAATCTTTGTATTATTAGCGATTTTGGTCTCTATACGGAGGATGGTATATGAAGTAGGGATTGTTCTTCCGACTCTGTTTGACAATAGCAAGAAAGATCACAATTTTTTATTATTATTTTTTTTTTTGGTAATTTTTTAAAATTTTGTATTAAAATTTTGAAAAAATTACAAAAACAAAAACAAAAAAAAAACACTATGGTTTGACCCATGTACCAAAATTTTAATGTTGCTAATTTACAATTTAATTCTTTGATTTATTTTCAATGGCCTAGTTTAAATTTAAAACAAGTCAAAATATTAGAGTTTAAATTGATAATTTAAAAAACTTTTATCTGAAAATTTTGCTTCTTATTTTAAAAAAAAGAAACTTCAACTTCTTTATTTTTATTTTTTTACTTATCAGATTATTTAGAATTTAAAAGTGAAAAAGTTTTTTTTTTTTTTAATTAAAAAAAAAAGAACAAAAATGAAAAAGTTTTTTTTTTTTTTTTTAAATTAAAAAGAAAGAAGAAAAAAAAAAGAGAAAAGAAATCAGTCTTGAAGAACTTTGAGCATTTGATTTTCAAACGTGTTTCTGGAATATTTTCGCAGGTGTTTGCAAAGCTTTTTGAAACCCTTGAAAAAGAAAATAATGAAACCCTATAGACGCATTCTTAGGATCAGAATTTCCAATTCCTTGATTTGAACTTTGATGTCCTTTTGATTTGATTGAGTTTTGGGGTTTCTTTTTATTCCTCAGAAAATCAAGACATACCATTATGTTGAATGTATCTGTCTTAAAATAATAACTCCATTTGATTTTGTATTATGATTTTGGAATATTTTCAAAACTATCTAACCATCAATACAAAATCATAAGGGCAGCATTGTTTCATGATCATGGGTTTTTGTTTCTAAATATTTTCTCTACAATAACATATAATAAATTTAGATTTTATATTGCATTAGTAGAAGGAAAAAAAAATGACAAAGTGTCTTGAAAAAGAGTAAAAAGATTATAGCATCGAATCCTTAATTTGATTTCGAGAGTTTCTAAATACATACATAATATCATAAATTACATAGTTTCTAAATACATACATAATATTATAAATTACAGGCTGAGGAAGTGGTAGAAGAAGTAAACATATGGGCTGAGAAAGCATCGAGAGGGCTTATCACAAACATTCTAGAACCCGGTTCCTTAGATCCAATGACACAACTTGTTCTGGCAAACGGACTCTACTTCAAAGGAACGTGGTCCAAAAAATTTGATGCAAATCTCACTCAAAACCGAGACTTTTATCTTCTCAACGGAGATAAAATTTCAACCCCATTCATGTCTAGTCGAAAAGACTATCTATTCAGATCATTCAACGATTTCAAGGTCCTCAAAATACCATACCATTGTGGGAATTTCAAATCACTCGACAACACCAAAATCGATGACATCAATACCGATGACTCCGATTACGACTCTGATTACGACAACACCAACGACGGCACCCCCCGATTCTCTATGTTCTTCTTGCTCCCAAACAAGATAGACGGACTTCCAAATCTTTTGGAAAAGCTAAATTCCGATTGTGGGTTGTTGGATCAGAGCCTCATGAACTTGTGGAAAGCGGAGCTCAACAAGTTTTGGATCCCGAAATTCAAATTCTCGTTCGATTTTAAGGTTTGCAAGGCCATGGAGGACATGGGAGTATCATTGAATGTTAAATCAGAAACAGTTGTTTCAACCATTCTTCATAAAGCTTGTGTTGAGATAGACGAGGTAGGCACGGAGGCTGCAGCCATTACTGTCAGCATGTTAATGGGATGTTCACTGTATGAGCCAGAAAAAGTTAACTTTGTTGCGGATCATCCTTTCTTATTCATGATCAAGGAAGAGGTCTCGGGGTTGGTTATTTTCGCAGGTGCAGTACTCAATCCGGCAGAAGTTTCGTTTTAGTTTGAAGGGGGGGGGAGATTCAATTATCGTGTTTAGTTTAGGAATTTTGAGTTGCAATAATGCAAATTATGTATTGGAGATTTTGGTTGGAAATAAAGAAAAGTTATGATCTAGTCTTTTATAATCAACTTTAACCTTGCAAGATGAAAACAATAAAAAAATATATGTATTGTTTTTGTTTTTTAGATGTGAATATTTTTGAGCATGCTATTGTTGGAAATTTTTACAATGATTTTGATGATACAGTAGCAAAAGATGATTGGATGAAATTTTTAGTACACATCAAAACAGCTTAAATGGCAATGATGTAGCATAATGAGAATAATACAGTTCGCATTCATTTTAGATGAAATGGTGCTTCGGAGTAGGATGATTTTTATCTTAAAGATTTTAAGGGATTTGAAGGCTGTACATGATCTTGTTCTGCTAAAAGTGTTTTACTATATTTTCATCTTCATACTTGCAACATAATAGTAATTAGTTTGGTTATTACTACCCACAAGTCCTATACAACCTTTTGCGGAAATCTCTTGAACTCATACGCAGCTTAAATGGAAAAAGCTTAAATGGAAAAAGAACTATTTTTCTTTTATATTCCCTAATGACCTGAAAATAATTTTCAAAAAAAGAAATACAATTTGTTGTATTAGAAATAGGAACCAGATATGGAGTTGGAGTTGGCTTCTTGGATCGAAGGATTCCTTGGAGCATGCTTTAAGATGGATGGTGGTGTTAACAGAGAACTGCAAGAGATTCTAATAGTTGTGGAAAAGAGTGACTGAAGGCATGTCATGAACTTTTCTAAGCATTTACAAGATTTTGCAGAGAAAATTGAAAATGCAAAGGAAATGTTAATTGCATGATTGAGTATATACTGCAAACCGATTAACATAGCAGAAAAGCACAACATAAACCACTAACCCCTTGGTATGGATAGCATGCATAATGGACATGTTGGTATGGATATCATGCATAATGGACGTGTTAGTAGTATTGTTAGTGTCACTGGCCAAATTTTAGCTAACTACAGTAATGTTTGGATGCCACAATAGAAGTGCTAAGTAATGTGTTAGTGGGTTTTGTTAGCATCAGTTGCTAAGTTCTTTGTCAACTGCAGCTAGCGCAGGGAATCGTTTTTTTGTGTTACGGGTTGACCGGTTGACCGGTCAACGGAATTTTTATTTTTTTATTTTTTTTTTTACATGTTGGGATTTTTTTTTTTTTGGACTTGAAATTTAATTTTGGGCTTGAAATTTTTTATTAAACTAAATTATTTATTTATTTTATTTATTATATACACATATATATATATATATTTAACACACACCTTAACACATCCATTACACCACCACTCACTCTCTAAAATTAACAAACTCTTAACACATCTTAACAAACATTTTTGGGCCTCACTTTTATCACTTTTTGTCATATAACACACTTTAACAAACAATTTTAGCTATCCCATTGTGGATGCTCTAATATGCTTAATTTGAAGAACTCAAAAGTTTGCATAGATATAATGCATAATATGCTTAATTTGAATTCTGTACAAACAATGCAATAACTCACAAGTAGATGGCATCCTTAACAATTCCAAGCAACTCCAGTCAGTCTGTTCTAACAGCGAAGGCCTTCCCCATCTTTGAAGAGATGGTTTCTGAGACAGCGGCAGTAATCAAGTTGCTATTGTCAGACATGTAGAAGTAGTTGTAGTTAATTCTGGTGACCAAATCTGCCAAATGAGGGAAATGCCCCACATTGAGCTTGAAAGATAGGACCTGTAAAGTCAAAACAATTTCAGAAAATTTTACATACCCATGTCCATATATCATGTAAATATGCAAGTGTACACATCTGCTTTTAAATCTTTGTGCTTGGGCATGTACAAGTATTTTTGGCACAAGTGAGTCATGCACAAAGATAGAAGATTACTCTGAGAAGGAAGGCAGTGCAATCATCAAACTGTTTCTCTATCCGATTCACTTCCATTTCACATCTAGCCTTGATGGCAGAAACTGCTCCACCACTAATGAGTGTCTGCTGTATGGAATAGAAGTCTAGAGCTAATCCAAGGATACTGTTGATCCGACTGGCAATCAATGCCCACTAAGAGCAAAAGAGACAGTTGAACAATGTTCAGATTTACTTTTCGACAAGAAATGCCGACTTCAAAGAAAATCAGGCAATAAAAAATGCATTGCACATGCAAATATAAAAGGAGAAAAGTCACTGACCAGCTTATCTGGAACAACGAAGCATTGGCGCTGAATTGACAACAAATAGGCCTCATGTACTTCTATGACTTCATCCAAAGATGCAGCTGTTGCCATACCTTCACAAAGTTCACGCCATGCACTATGATATACCTGCTTACCAAATCCAAGTCAGAGATCAAAGAGCAGGGTGCCACTCTCATGTAAATACTGCATTTTTATCTACAAAGGAACATGATGTTTGAAAAGTGTAACATAAGTTTAAAATTTAAAAGGAGACTAGTTTTCTTTATTACAGATTGGAAAACTGTGAAATCTGAGGCATGCAGCCAAATGCAAAGACTCTAGAAATAGATTTGGGCAAATTACACCAATGGTGCTTACATTTGCTCCTTGTGTCATTTTGATCAATACACTTTCAATTGGCTTAATTTTGATCCTTAATTTTAGATTTTGTGTCAATTTGGTCCACTTGATAATGTCGTTAGTATTTTTGACGAAAAATAATCACTGAATTGGTTGAGGTTAACACACAGAGTTGAGTAAGTGTATAATTTTGCTCTCAAAACTATTGACACATGCCACTTATATGCTTATATTTCATATAAAAAAAATACTAAAAGTTGTAATCAATTGGATCAAATTGAAACAAAGTCATAAATTCAGGGTCAAAATCGAGCTAATTGAAGTTACAGAGACCAAAATAATACAAGAACCAAAGTACAGAGACTATTGTCATAATTTGCCCAATAGATTTTGGTACTAGGACTGAAATGTGACTTTCTCACAATTATTGAAATGTTATATTTAAAAATCATGCCATTAACTATGTGTACTGAAATGTGATCTTTTAGAAGATATGAGGGATGACGTTCTTTGTAGGCCTTTACGGCAATTCTGCATGATCTAGCTCTTTTGCTATGACACAGATCCAGTAACTTTCAGAGATTTTTCAAAGTTCACTTAAATGTGAAAGTTGTCAAATAAATCCTATGGGAGACTAGCAACACCAAGTTTGAGCAACGCCCAAAAGAAAGAAAAGGCGAGCATGCTTGACGTGTCAAAAACAAATAAGCTCAGGAAACAGGATTAACTTCTATGTGCTAAAGGGATAAAAACTAACATAATCATGCAGGCAGTTATGTAAAAGTCAAAATTTCACCGACACGAGTACTGAAGATTTTTAGCTTCAAAAAAGGAATAATAAAGATTTTGGGTTGACATAGAGATTCAAGTATTCAACCACAGACTCTTTTCATAGGGAGTGTACCAGATATGTATTCACACAAGCACAACCCAAACATAAGTGCACAAAGAACTTTCATAAAACAAATATAGACTGAGTCCAGTTTAGCTTTATGAGACTTGCCAAGTCCAACATCCTACGTAAAGTCTAAATACAACACTCTTTTCCAAGCGCACAGATCAGCAATTATAAATAGCATGCGCATTAGGAGCTGAAGGGATCTTACTCGGTCCATCACATATTGGTGAAAAGCATCCACAAAATGGAGAAGTTTTTGTTCCACTAACCAGTGACGCTTGCGGTTGATTGTTGCAGTGCCTTTACACTGAAGAGCAAGAGCAATGGAATCAACAACGTTCCCGAAAACATCAAACTAAATCAGAACATTCACATTTAGCCAGAGAAAAGTCATTCTAATGATCACTTCCCAAGTTTGCAGCTTTCCATGTCACAATGTTCATTGTATAGAAATGACTTGAAGGAAGCGCGCACACACACACACGAGGGTGGGTGGAGGAGGGAGAGGAAAAAAAGAAAAGAAAAGAACCTTCCACATCCACCTCCGAGTTTTATCAAGCACAAATTTGGCACGCTTGACTTTCAACAAGAAACTCATCACCTGCATCAAACTCGGAGCAATAAATGTGAAGTAGGGAATGAAACAATTGCACTTCTTTTTTTGATAAGAAACAAAGAAGATTGTAATAGATAATGTGCTAAGGGCTGGACAACCCAAGTACAATCACGAAAGAAAAGATAGAAAAGAAAACAGATAAAGAAATGTGTACAGAGAAAACTTCAAAAGCCTTACACCAACCAGAAAAAAGCAACAAAGCCACACCCAACTAAAAAAATACATCAATGAATAGTACAATACAACTGAAGTGAAAAAGGCTACCTGGTTATATTTTTTAATTGCTTCTGCATTAGCAATAAGTTCAAGTGGCCAAGACACCTATAACATTCAGTACACAGAAGCACTTAGAAAGATATGAAAACAGAGTGGCCATAAGTTTCAAATATTGAAGAATGGATAATGCATTTTAAACAGTGAATACGTGAATTGAAATAGTAGACAACATGCTTAACCAGAAAGTGGACCTTGTATGTGAATTTTAATGAATCAAGGCCATCAATTCCAAAGCTCTTCCCACGGCTTTTACGAGGAGTTGAGACAAGAGTAGATGCATTATGCTGCTCATCACCACTGAGACCATGATTTTTGGTGAAAGACACAACTAAAGAATCTGGACCACTCAGTAGCATGCCATCGGCAGAATTGGCAATTGATTCCTGGAGTCAAATAAGAGTGATTCATTACTCTGATCCAAAGAATGAAGAAAACAAAACGCCTTCAACAGATACCAGATAGCCTCATGGATATCATGGAGCTACCACCTTTGCTGTGTAGCCAGAAAGACATGATCCCAATTAATCCAAAACTGAAATTTCTAGAACCGAAAAGCACTCTAGTTGATTGACTATAATAATTTTGACTCCACAGGATTTTTTGAACAAATGTTGTGATAGTGTTATACTTCAAAAAAAATTATATCTTCGAAGAAGAAAGAAAGAAGTAAAGAAGAAAAAGCAGTCGTGAGGATGATAATAATATCAATATTGTGTAATTTAACATCCATTAAAAAACAAACAAACAAAAACTATTCCTAGTTTTTTATAGTGCAGTCAGGCATATGAACACTGGCCTTTGTACTGTTCATGACCTTTGGTCAAACCCCATAGACTAGGGGTACATTACACTTACCTGCCCTGAGATTTCTGAGAAATACAAGAATCTCCCCTATCGTTTCAATAATTATAGAAACATTCCCTACTTTTGAAACTATTATCAAGATTCCCCCACTGTTACTCTCTGTTCGGTTATTTGTTGATGTCATGTTGATGCCATACCAATAACGACGAAATTACCCCTTAGATACCTTATCTATTCAAATGAGTAATTTCACTCACATCCCCTGAGATTTACATATATATTATCAAAGACCCATATATATTTTAACATTACTTAATAAAATTCTTAAAATTCATGCAATATTAGATAAAACTCTTAAATTGTTAAAATATTATTAAATCATTTAATGAAAAAAAAAAAAACCTTAATTTTTATTGATAAAATACTTAAAAATAAATGATCTCTCTAAAATTAATGTTAGATAATACCCTAATAATTTAATATAAGACTTATTTCACACTACATAAACAACGTAAAATTTATTATTTTAATTAATGCATTTATTATTTGATTTTTTTTTTAAAAGTTGAAGTAAATGGATTTATTTTTTTGGATAATTTGCATTACTTATTTATTCATATGCACAAACATTATTATCTTATCTTTTCTCAATCATATATTATTCTCAAATTTTAATTTTATCTTTGGGTCATTAAACTTCTAGTCGATGCATATTTAAAAAAACACAGGTTAATATTTTTACATGATTAAAAAAAATTAAAAAATAAATATAAAAGTAAAAAAATATAATTACATCACAATAAATTAAAATTAGTTGAGAGGGAATGAAGGATCACAAAATCTTAGAATTAATTTCTCACCTTCATTAATGGTTAAATTTTATTTTATTTTTTCTATAAAAGTTCAAAAAATTGTGGAAAAAAATAAAGTCAAGCAATTACATTTATATTTTGAAAAAAGTATGAGAAATAAATAATAATTTCATATATATTTAATAGGGTAAATTAAATTTAGTGCATATAAGGTTGAGATTAATGTCGATAAGGTAGTTTTTTATTTTTTATTTTTATCATAACCAAACAAAGATTTTATAAAGGCACAAAGCCAAAAGAAGGGAGGATAAGGAATCCTCTGAAAAAAGTACAAGTTAAAAATAACAAAAACAACAAAAGGAAGCAAAACCCAAAATGATAAAAAAAACATTACAAATCATAAACTGACACCCAATTTGCTGCAATCATAAAGAGAGGAATTCCTTTGAACAAAAGACTCCCCGACACCCAAAACGATGCTAAATGTCGAACTTTATCCCATAAAAAATCAACATCCCGAGATTCTCCTTCAAAGATGCGCCCATTTCTCTCCAACCAAATGACCTAGAAAATTGAAAAGATAGCACAAAGCCAAAACACCTTGGCCTTCTTCGACCAACCCAACACTTGAAAATCAATTAAAGTCATTTATGCACTTTCTTTTGGAGCCACCCACATAACATTTCCTAAACAAAACAAATATTTGCCATAAGCATGCTGCCACTGTACAATGCAGAAATAAATGATCCAAAGATTCATCACTCCTCCTACACATTATGCACCATTGAGGACTTAGAGAACAAGAAGGCCTCCTCCTTTGCAATGTATCATTTGTTAAAGTGCCTCTATGAACCAAAATCCACGGGAACATCTTTACCTTAAGAGGAACACAAACCCTCCATATCTTCTTGTGAAAAGGGAACAAAAGTGAGTTTGTCGAAAAAAGATTTCCAAGAAAAGAAGCCCGAAGAATGAACAGCCCAAATCCACTTGTCCTCTAAAGTCGGAACCAAAGAGACATGTTCAAGTCTTGACAAAAGATCCACCAATTCCCCAACCTTCCAATCATTAAGATTTTTAGGAAATTAAAATTTCAAGAAATTGGAGCCAAAGATGAGCATGTCATGGAAGCAATAGAGCAATTATGAGACTAAGACACTCTGTACAAATGTGGGAAAGACACAACGAAGGAAGAAGAACCGATCCAAACATCCTCCCAGAATTTGGCAATTTCTCCTTTACCCACCCTCACAGAAATGAAACGGAACCAACTGGATAAATATAAGAGATTGATTTCCCAGGAGTTCGCCCATTACCCCTAGTGACCACTTGCGAATCTCTACCATTAACATGAATCCCACACTTACTTCTAATAACCTTATGCCATAATGAATCAAACTCATTTGAGAATCTCCATAATCACTTGCCAAGTAGTGTTGTGCTCCAAGCTACTATGTTACCTATGGCCAAACCCCCATTTTCCTTAGGACAAGAACCTGTCTCCCAATTCACCAAATGATCTTTTTTGCTCTCATCCTTTCCCTCCCATAGGAAGTCCCACATCGATTTTTCTAAAGACCTTGCCACCAGTGTTGTCAAAGTCGCGCCTAGGCGCACGCCTAGGCGCAAGGCGAGTCGAGGCGCACCATCTGCGCCTGTACAGGTACCAGGCGAGGCGGCTTGAGCCAGGCGAGCGCCTTAGCCGCGCCTTGAGCCAGGCGAGAGAGGCGCAAGGCCCTCGCCTAGGCGCGACTGAGCGTTTAATCTGTAGATCAGATCGAACGACTCAGATTCGACTCAGATGAAGCTTTCGAATGGCATAAAATCACAGAGGATCAGAACTCATTACCATATCAGTCGAATAGGACTCAGATTAACCCTAATCGAAGTCGTCTCTCTTCCTCTTTCGAGCTGCTGGAGCTACGACTGCGACACGAGCTGCGACAGGAGCTGCGACACGAGCTGGACTTCGATTGCGACACTGGATCAACTTCGGCTGAGCAGGTTCGACTCCTTCTTCTTCGTCTTCGACACTGATCCCCTTCTCCTTCTTCTTCGTCTTCGACAGGTCGTCGTTCGACTTCGAAATTAATTTTTTTTTTTTTTCCTTTTCTTCTTTCTCCTTCGGCTTCGCAGGTTCAGTGTCTGATCCTCTCTTCTTTTTTTTTTTTTCCTTTTCTTTTTTTTTTCAATTATTTGAGTTTATATTTTTTCAACACTGGTTCAACCCATGATTATTACATAAATAAATAAATTAATTCATACATACATAAATAAAAAAATAGATACATTACATTACATTCATTATGATTATATTAAAATTGATTCATCATTATACTGAAATTAATTAATTGATCATTAATTAAAAAAATAGAAAATTGATTAATTAATTAGAAAAGATTAATGTGTCGTGATTAATAAGAATTTAATGTGTTGTATGTGTTGTGATTAATGTGATTAATAAGAATTTAATAAGAATTTAATTATTAATCAATTTATTGTGTTGTGATTAATGTGTTATGATTAAAAAAATAGAAAATTGGTTGATTAATTAATTGATAAATTGATTCATAAGTTAATCAATTTATTAATGTGATGAATTAATAAATTGGTCAAAGTTTTTCTTGAAAAAATAATGTAACATAGGAATGAATGTAATGGAATGTAATGTTCATTAATTAATTAATTGATCATTAATTAAAAAAATAGAAAATTGATTAATTAATTAGAAAAGATTAATGTGTCGTGATTAATAAGAATTTAATAAGAATTTAATTAATTAATAAAGATTAATCAATTTATCAATTAATCAATTTATTGTGTTGTGATTAATGTGTTATGATTAAAAAAATAGAAAATTTGGTAGTGGTGTAGTGGGTTAGGTCTCGTGGAGTAGGTGAGGTGGTAGTGGTGTAGTGGGTTAGGTCTCGTGGAGTAGGTGAGGTGGTAGTGGTGTAGTGGGTTAGGTCTCGTGGAGTAGGTGAGGTGGTAGTGGTGTAGTGGGTTAGGTCTCGTGGAGTAGGTGAGGTGGTAGTGGTGTAGTGGGTTAGGTCTCGTGGAGTAGGTGAGGTGGTAGTGGTGTAGTGGGTTAGGTCTCGTGGAGTAGGTGAGGTGGTAGTGGTGTAGTGGGTTAGGTCTCGTGGAGTAGGTGAGGTGGTAGTGGTGTAGTGGGTTAGGTCTCGTGGAGTAGGTGAGGTGGTAGTGGTGTAGTGGGTTAGGTCTCGTGGAGTAGGTGAGGTGGTAGTGGTGTAGTGGGTTAGGTCTCGTGGAGTAGGTGAGGTGGTAGTGGTGTAGTGGGTTAGGTCTCGTGGAGTAGGTGAGGTGGTAGTGGTGTAGTGGGTTAGGTCTCGTGGAGTAGGTGAGGTGGTAGTGGTGTAGTGGGTTAGGTCTCGTGGAGTAGGTGAGGTGGTAGTGGTGTAGTGGGTTAGGTCTCGTGGAGTAGGTGAGGTGGTAGTGGTGTAGTGGGTTAGGTCTCGTGGAGTAGGTGAGGTGGTAGTGGTGTAGTGGGTTAGGTCTCGTGGAGTAGGTGAGGTGGTAGTGGTGTAGTGGGTTAGGTCTCGTGGAGTAGGTGAGGTGGTAGTGGTGTAGTGGGTTAGGTCTCGTGGAGTAGGTGAGGTGGTAGTGGTGTAGTGGGTTAGGTCTCGTGGAGTAGGTGAGGTGGTAGTGGTGTAGTGGGTTAGGTCTCGTGGAGTAGGTGAGGTGGTAGTGGTGTAGTGGGTTAGGTCTCGTGGAGTAGGTGAGGTGGTAGTGGTGTAGTGGGTTAGGTC